CCTACATCTGTGAGTACTTAGCACACCTTCCCATTTCTGCCTGTTGGCTGTCCTTTACTTGTCTCGTTCTTGGGTGAAGAGCACAGGCTGTGTCTCTTACTCCAAAAGTTGGAGTCTGATGGGAGGGATGGATAAGAGGGTCAAACTGGGAGTTTCAGAGTGTTACAGTTAGGACAAAGCACAGTGCAGCAGCTCACCATGCTGCAGAGCTTTTGTCATCAGCTGTCTTGAACCATTCTCACCCAGTGCTTTGCACCTTCAACCCTACAGAGGCTCCCAGCTACTAAAGGGGCTCTGTTAAAACCTTGATGGTGTGTTTAGCAGTAAGATAGATGAGTTCACAGTGCTTCCTTGTGATGATCTGTTACAATGGGGATCAGGTCTATCAGCTTCTGATACCAGAACCTGTGTCATGGTCAGACTGAGTTTGATTGCCCATGCTGGTCTTGAAACAGAATGCAACTGTATTGCCAGTTGCAACAAAGGCAATAGTTCACAGGGAGGTTTTGGTGACTTTCTGAAGAAAGATCTGCCTAAGGCTTGTAAGATTAAGTGCATGTGATTGTACCCTTGTCTGTACATGCAGTTGGTGCTGTGCTGTTCACTTCGGTGTGGGCCCACAGTAACAGTACAGAGTGCTTGGTTTGGCTTGTCAGTAATGAGAAATTTCAGTGCAAAACTTTTTGTTCTGTTTTTCTTTTTTTTGCTCTTTAAGGCAAAGTCTTGGGCAACTTGCAGCTTAACCTTCTTAGTAAATCCAAGGTTTATGAAGACCCGGCTTTGAGTGCCATTTTTCTGCACAACAACTACAACTACATTCTGAAATCTCTGGAGAAGTAAGTGTGTATCTGGGTAAATCTCCTCAGTTTGAGGCTAATACTAAGCATGGTTTTGGAGTGGAGTTCTGCATTGAGTGCATTTACTTGCTGGCCTGTCTCATCTCTGCTCTTCCTTCCATTCTTGAAACTGCCCTTTATGAAAGCTTTGCACCATTGTAAGCATTACATTGTATTACAAGAGAGTGGAAGATGTGAGATGCATTGTAGAGAATATTTTGGTCTTGGGACGACTGAGGTTATGATTTCGGAAAGTAACTTGGAGTGGCCTCTGTCTCCCAACTTGTGCATTTCAAGGTTCCTTTTATTTTAAAAGGCAGAAAAGATCTTGTTGATAGAGGCTTGAAATGCTACCATCCTGCTTGCAACCCTGGGAGCAGCTGGCTCACCTGTTTCTTTCAGGTCTGAGCTGATCCAGCTGGTAGCTGTGACACAGAAGACAGCTGAGAGGTCTTACCGGGAGCTCATTGAACAGCAGATCCAGACCTACCAGCGCAGGTCAGGTGACATCCTCCACTCTTCCCTTAGTTGTGTCAGTTTGAGAGCTCCTTGGGAGCCAATGCTGCTGGAGGAGTGGGAGAGGTTAGCCTAAACCAGAAACTTGCCTAAAACCAAACCCAAGTCTTTTGATTTCTAAGTGATTAATCTAACTTGGGAAGTGGCTACTGTAGAAAGTTTTGAGGTGTGTATTGTCTAGGTGGCCTTTGGGTCATGGGTGAGGACATAAATGTTCTGGTGAGACATGAGTAATTCCTTCTCTTTGCCTCTTTCACATCTCACTTCGAATGCAGCTGGTTGAAGGTGACAGATTACATCTTGGAGAGAAACCTGCCTGTCTTTCAACCAGGAGTGAAGGTGAGAGCATGGGCAAGGATAGTTTTGGGATTATAGAAATTGCCAGAAACATTTCTTTTGTTGTGTTAAAAAAAAAAAAAAAATCCTAGAAAACTTCTATATATATAGTGCCAGTATTGCTCTGTGGAGTGAATACAGTGGCTGGGACAAGGTGGAAAGCAGCATTGCCTTCTAATCTCTCCTGCCCCATATTCATACAAGTCTCTTAATCTCTGCCTTCATTCTTGTATTTTCACCTGAGCAGATGCTTGTGTTTTGGATTTGCAAAGCCCTGAGAACCTTCCCTTAGAAAGGGCTGCAAGCATAAAGAAGTCTATTTTTATGTCTGTTCTGGCTGAAAAATCACTCATTAAACCTACTTCAGATGAAAGCCAATTGCTGGATGTAGGTTGTGCTGCTCACTGCAGCTTTCTCTCCTCCCTACTTTAGGAGAGGGAATTCAAGCTAAGTAGGTAGGATATTACTTGGATGGGGAGTTGTGGGTAACCACTGATGTTGCAAATTTATTTCTGGAGATGAAATAAAATCCTTTTCCTCCTTATTGCAGCTCAAGGATAAGGAGAGGCAGATGATAAAGGAGCGCTTTAAGGTAAGGAGGTGTTAGGTGGCATAAGAATATCCCCGAGTTGATTGAGACAGATCAAAGATCTGCATAAGGAGGACACCTGGCTGTCTGTGATCAGTAGTGGAGGGGAAGAACATCAGCCTCAGTATAAAGATGTGATTATACTCAGTACAGTCACTGGGTTTTACTTTGGACAGGGTTTTAATGATGGACTGGAGGAGCTGTGTAAGATCCAGAAGGCCTGGGCAATCCCAGACATGGAGCAGCGGGACAAAATCCGCCGGGCCCAGAAAACCATTGTGAAAGAGACCTATGGTGCCTTCTTGAACAGGTGACAACCTCTTGCAACATTGTCCTCTCTTTGGATTTACTGAGGTCTTTGGGGTGTAGGGTAGCCTGAGCTGAGGCACTTTTCTACTGTGCTGTCTTAGCTTTCTCTACCTTGCATACTACAATATCCCCTGATACAGGGGATACAGGCTGAACTCAGCTAGTTTTGAATGTCTGCTGTCACCCTGATTCCTTGGTCAGGGTGAGTGCAGATGTTGTAGCTAGCATGAAGCTCTGAGCCGCCCTGGGCTCTTCATGTAAACCTTAGGAGACCTGTTGTAACCAGGTCACTTCCTCCCCACAAGATACCCTATTAGATTCAAGTGGAACATGCTGGAATGGAGCTGATTTGCGGCAGAGGAGGGCCAGTGAGTCTCTCCGCTACGTTCTGGTTGTTTGTCACCTAGGGGTCGTCTTCCTTTGCAGATATGGCAATGTGCCCTTCACCAAGAACCCTGAGAAGTACATCAAATACCAGGTTGACCAGGTGGGAGAGATGATTGAGAAGCTGTTTGACACATCGGCATAAATCTCCAGCTGCCATGTACTCTCCAGCTGCCAAGTACAAGTCAGCACTCTCTCAGCATCCTTGGGACTTCCTTCCCTTCCCCCATGCCCCATTGTGGTAGGCAGAGCCTGCCTCCCAGCCTGCTGTCACCCTCTGGGGTCTTGCTGCTGAATGGTGACCAGAAATGAGCAGGTGTTGGCTGTGTTCACTGCCCAGGGAGAGGGGATGCAGCCATGCTTGGGGTTGGGAGCTGAGTTAGGAGTGTCCTGGGATGTGTTTCCAAAGCAGTCACAGGGGCAGATGGGCAGCTTTAGGGCAGTTATACAGCAGAGCAGGGCTCAGCTGTGGGTCTGGGAGGCTGTTGGACAGGCTGGGGGCCACTTTGCACAGACTGGAGCCATGCTTCCAAACTCCTTCCTACTGTCCCCTTGAGCCATCCCCATTTGTTGTCTGGACCCCACTGGGTCTATTTGCACATGGGCAAATATCTGTGGGTGAAGGGCAGTGATGTCCTTCCTGGCTCTGCCTTACAGACCCTCTCAGGGCCTCACTCCCCAGGGACCTGTTGTCTCCATGGCACAGTTCCTTTCTCTCCCAGCTTAGTCCCTGCCTATGTTAGTGTCTGCCTGGCACTCACCAGCACCAAGGAGCTGGGCAGCAATGAGTCACCGAAGTTGATTTTTAGGGGGTGGATTGTGTTAAATGTAGTTAGTGGATGTTCTGGAAGTCTCTGTAAATATCTGTCTTTGCGATGCTTAAAAAAAAAAAAGTTAGTCCTTTCTTTCCTGCGCTCTTTTGCATGTTCACACACAGACGTGCACACACGCTTGCGTTAATTCTGTGTTTGACTGCAGTATCAGGGTGCTGCTTTCACAGCTCTCCAGCTGAAGACAGTTCCCAAGTGTCCCCTTTAGGGAACCAGCTCTGCCAAGCTCTGCCAAAGGTTTTACTTAATTATTGCTTTGAATCCTTCTCATTTTGCCCTCTTACCCGGCCCCTGCTTGGGAAGATCCCAGCAGATCGTGGGGTGTGGCTGCGGATGCATGGCTGGTGTGCTTAGGAGAATGCCCAGGGCTGGGTGTCCCCTGGGGTGGTGCAGAACATGGCTCCTATGTAATTTAGGGCAGGGGGCAATGTGAGCAGGTGGTTGCATAGGTCCTAGTTTGTTCTCACACAGTTATTTGTCCTTTATACCTCCTCCCAGCATGTGTCAGACAGGCCATGGGATGTTCCAGTCATGTCATACCTGCAGCAGTTAGCAGCTTGTTTGTGAAGCTGTGCCCCACAGCCTTCATGGCCTCCCCTAGGAATTGCAAAACCCACCCCTTTCCCATTTGATTCTTTTTTATTAGCATTTATGCCTAAACCTTTTTCTCCCAGGGCTGAACATGAGCATCCTGGTGGGGTGAGAGCATGTGTGTCTGAGGGCTCTGCTTGCAAGGCTGGGGCTCCTCAAAAAGATCCAAAGCTGCAAACCGAGCAGCCACCCATGGCAAAGCTGAGCCAAGGAGGAGCAGTGACTGGTGATGTTGTTGCAATGTGTATGGTTTTGATGAGCTGTTTTGAGGAGGTGACCTGTCCCCTTTACTCTTCTGGCTGATAGTCATGGCTCTAAGCTGCTAATGCTATTTTGAGCCTTCTTTCCCATGCAGTGGCAAAATACTTGGTAAACAAACTGAGTTTACAAAAATCCATGGTAATTTAGCACTTTTCTCCTGCTGGTTGTTGTGAGCCTGCTTTTGCTATGGTGAGACTGTGATTCCCTGACTGCGTGGCTGGAGTGCTGTCACCTGGGGTCAGAGCCACCCATCAGAGTCGTCTCCCTCTTTTGCTGTTCTGTTCTGGCCATACTGCTGCTGAAGGGTCCAACATGGCTGTGAGAAGAAACCACCCCCAGAGACCCAGCTTTGCTGCTCAGAGTTGTTCCCCAGCTGGGGACAGCTTGGTGCTGGGGTTTTGAGAGGTCAGTGGCCATGCTGTGGCCCTGGCTTTTCCCATGGCTGGCTCAGAGATGGCACCAGGAGTCTCCCTGGGGCTGGGTGAGGAGTTTGGGGCACAGCCAGCCCCCTTCTGCCTAGCTCTGCTCCTGAGAGAGTCCCCTGGGGCCAGGTGCTATGTGCTGGGTCATGGTGAGCATCAGTAGCAGGAGCAGCAGCAGCCCTGGGGGGGTGCTCCCCTTCTCGGATCCTTCTCCCCAATACCCCATCTCTTGCTTGATGGTGAGATGAGATACACAGGTACTGTCCCAATCCCTTCTCCCCTGCAGGGCTCTTTCTGTTTGCGTGGATTTTGAGCTGCTCGTGGGGGAGCAGTGCATGGATTGAGGTTTGCTGGCTGGCTTGTACATTTGTGAACCGGTTATTTTTATTTTCTTGTGAATGCTATAAAAAGATGAACTCAGAAGCAACTCTTGTCCTTTCTGGGAACTCAGCCCTGCATGAAGGGAACAACCTGGGCTTGAAAGTGAGCACTGGCTCCATGGGGCTTCCTGCGGTGCAACCTGGGGTCTGGCACAGTGATGCCCTGTGGCATCGTGGGTTGGGATCTGTGCGTGCAGCTGGGCATGAAAGGAAAACAGGTCTGGAGGTGAGATGGGGGAAGCTGAGCAGGGTCAGGGTCTCCTCTGCAATGGCATGAAGGGATAGGGGATGCTGTACCCCCAGCCATGCCAGCACAGAGATCCCTGTCCTTGAGGAGTGTAGAGGTGGTAGGATACCATCTTCATCCCCAGGATGAGGTGATAACAGTGTCCAGGAGTGAGGTTGAACCCCTTGGTGTGGGGGATCTGTTGGAACCAGATCCCGTGTCTCTCTGAGCAGAGGTGGATGAGGGCAGGAGGAAGATGAGGCTTTCAGCTGTGCTTGCATGGCTGATTTGCTGTTTTCTTGGCTGGGAAGGGTTGAGCAGGGGAGATAAATGCAGATATAAGTAATGGACCTGTTTATATGCTTGCTCGCAGTGACTTACGCCATGAGGAGGTCTAGACTAAATATAACAGTTATTGATATGAGGCCATGGCCGATTTATGGCCCTCGGCATGGGGACAGGAAGATCTGGTTATAGTAACAGTCAGCAGGGGAAAACAAACATTTTACAGCCAAAGCCTTTCTGGGAAGAAAGGCCAAGCTCTGGGAGGGATGGAGGGCAGCGCAGTGTGGAGCAGGGCTGCATCAGGACGCAGAGCCCCAGGGAGAGCGAGGGTCTGAGATAGAAATAACCTCCTGCCACACATCCGAGTCCTGCCACAGGGATGCCGCAAGGACGGGAACCTGTGCAGACAGATTTGTACCCTCTGTAATGGCCATTTTGAGAGCTTGATGCCATTGGGGCGCAGCCCTGGGCATCACAGGGGTGCTCAGTACAGCCCATCCTGGCTCCTGTACGCTTTCATCACCACCTCTGGCTGCGCTCCACTGCAGCATTTTCAAAAGCGTTAATTGATCCCTATTCCAGTGATGTTTTTCTGGTGCAGAAAATGATGGGTCTTTAAATAAAGCCCTTGGCTGCTCGCAGTCACAGGGCTCAGACACTTCTGGACCTTTTGCAGCATTAACAGTGGGAGCTGTGAGTCATGTCGGCCTCTAGTGTGTGGGTATGGCTGTGCTAAGGGGAGTGTAGGGCTATTCCTGGTGCCGCACCGGTCCCCCCCCCCTTCGGTGGACCTGCTCAGGCATAACCCACATCCTCCACCCCCCGCTGCCTGTGGCTTTGCTTGGGCCAGTACATCCCACCAAGGGATGTACTCCAGCACATCGCCTCACCTTTGCTGTGGCCTGTGGGGTGTCTCAAGAGAGCAGGACATGGGATGCAGGATGGAGGGGTGTATTTGCAGCTTCCCTGGTTGCCTGGGGTTCCCCAGCACTTGCACAGCCCCGGCCATGTTCAGCCCCACATCATGGCAGCAGGAAAGCCATGCCAGTGCTCCACTTTGCTGTTCTCTACAAAACCTCACCTGGACTGAGATGCTGTCTTTGGTGACAACCGGATGCTCTGCAGAGCCTCACATGCACCAAAAATGGCAGGGATGAGCCATGGGCAGCAGCGCAGAGCTCTTGGCAGTCCTTGACTTGGGCTACAGCACTCAGCTACAGATGCTGCTTCCAGCTGTGCTCCATCTTGGGGAAAACCTTCTCCAAGCCATGAACCCCGGGGAGACATGAAAACCCAGACAACACTAGCTGTGCCAGGAAGGTTTGTCTGTGATTTCTGTGCCGCTTTCCTGGATTTTCCTGCCTGAGTCAGGTTCATGCCCATGTGGCTGTGGCAAGCACTGCCCTGGAACGCAGCACCTAAACTAGGACTTCCCAGATATCCTTAAAAGTGCACCCTGCTAACTGCAGCCAGATGCTGTGTTTGTTGGAGGGACCAGAGTTTTCAGTAGGCTCTGGGTGTAGATGCAACAGGGTGTAAGTCTGTCTGTAACAAGAACAGGTGGTGATACGTGAGATCTGATCTGGGGGTTTGAGCTCTCTGCTCTCAGCAAGTGCTCAGTGGAAGCAAATCCTGCCTTTGGATCTTTGGTCCTTGGTTGCTTGGCTGAGCAGCCAACAGCATCACTTTAACAGTTATATCATCTTTTATTCAGTTATATTCATTCATTGGAATGAAAAAGGGTACAATTGGATGCATTTTAACCCAAAACATAGCCGATCCCCGATGCTGCAGGAGGCTGCAAAGCCATAGGGTGGGAAGGAGCTCTGCTAGGTGACACTGAAGGTGATGGAGGAGTCATCTGTGTTCTGCTGATGTCCCACCGGCTCTGTCACCCCCTGGGGCTGGCCTGGGACCTCGCAGCACAGGGAGGAGTGCCCAGGCAGGGCTTTGCTGATGTGGGTCACCTCACTGAGCTCTGCCTCCAGTGTGCTGACAGTGTTTGTCACTTGGGCCACGTGCACCTTGTTGGCTGCCTTCTTGTGCAAGAGGCAGATGAAGATCTTCTTGAAACCCTTGCGGAAGTGTTTGGAGACCAGGGCGTAGACGATGGGGTTCACGCAGGAGTTGGCGTAGGAGATGAGATGCGAGAGGATGCGAAGCATGTACGTAGCATGATTGAGGGGGAAGTACCCGAACCAGACACAGAGAATGACCAGGTGATGGGGCAGCCAACAGAGGCAAAACAGGATGGCTACAATGATGATCATCCTGGTGACCTTCCGCTTGGCCTTCTTGGACTCTGACATGTCTTGGAGAGGGTCCACGGACCTCCACAGGTAGTGAATAGTACGCACATAAGTGAGGCTCAGGATCAGCACTGGGATGATGTAGCTGAAGATGAAGGTGCACATGTCCATGACCTTGCGCTGGGAGATCTCCCAGATGGGGTGGCAGACAGTCAGGTTGGCCAACTGGAATTCCTGGTAGTAGCTGAGGTAAGGGCCTGAGAAGATGAAGGAAAGCCCCCAGATGAAGCAGATGGCCGTGAGGGCATATTGAGTGGAGGGGGTATCGTATGGCCAAATACCTGCATGGGAAAGAGAGAGGGACAACACAACTGGTGTCCTGGGGAGGGCATGGAGATCTGCTCTGGGAGCCAATTGGAAGACAGAGTCAAAGTGATGGATTTGAGCTTTCCAGTGCAATTAGTCCCACAACTGATTCCCTGGTAGTTCTGAGGGTCCCAGGGGAGTGAGGAGGATCTTCTCCCTGACACTGTCCTTTCTCCCTCTCTGCTCCCAGTAGTGCTTGTAGGGGAAGATGGGGACAATCCCCTCTAATACAGCAGGTCATCAGCGACAGCAGCAGTGAGGACACGAATCCCCAGGATCCCTAGATGTCATCTTCCTTGTGCTGGCACATACAAAAAGCACATCACCCCTTTTCAGTTCTGCAGTTGGCTGTGTCCTTAATTATACCCTGATCTGGGGTGTCTTGCAAGCACCTGCTTGCTCCCTACCTCTGTTCTTCCCTGCTCTGTGGGATGCAGGAGGGTGCGTTTTAGCTCCTGGAGGAGTACGGTCCTGGCAGCCAGCATGGTGCTGTGCTGGGATGCAGGGGACAGCCAGCCCTGCTCTGGAGCTGCTGTGGCTCTTCCCAGGAGACTTTATCGGGGACTTTCCACACCCTACCACCCCATGGGTTTTGGGCACTAAGCAGAGCAGCACCAGGAGGTCCCTGCAGGTTGGTAACACCAGCCCTTGCAGAGCCAGGGGCTGAACAAGCAAGGGGTAAAGCTCAGGCAGAAGCAATAAGGCTGTCTTTTACAGAGCTTCCCAGCTAAAATCCACCCTGGGCCAGGCTGGGACAGTCACTGGGACAAGGGACATCACTGGGATAGAATTTGGGCTTTTTGTTAACAAAAGGGGAGAGTGGGAAAAGCAGTGTCCCAGCTGAAACATTAGTGATTTGCCTGCTTTGCTGTGGGCTGTTGGAAGGACAGGGTCCACACGGGGACTGAGCTTTGCTTCTTGCTGGTTTTCTATTACCCTTTCAGCTGTCAGAGCCTGAAGATAAATCCCACCCCAACAATTTCAGGGTCTGAAAGCCTCCTCCAGCTGGGCACCTGGAATAGGGGGTCCCAGTCCAACCCTCTGCTGGACCCCATCCTTGGTGGTTGCTTTTCCTTGCACACATAAACTGGGAAATGCTCCTGGATTCCCCTGTGAGCCCTGGGAGGTCACAGGGGCTCTCCTGCCCAGGTACAATCCAGAGGGGAGTTGCTGCAGGGTGCGGGGAGCCCCCCCGCC